TAGGTTTCACGAAATTAGCATGCCAGATTTTTATCATAAAGTATTCCCATATATGTCTATACTTTCACATCACCTATATGATGATATTTTACGCTGCTATATGGTTCCAAACGCAGTACCTCTTTATAATAAATTTCCTCCTAGGAATAGTGTTCACTCAATTTTGATTAAAGGACGCCACGCACTATTATTTGCAAGCTGGATTGATAAACAAAATAACGAATATTATAAAGATAAGCTTCCTTACAAATTTGTTCTTTTATTTCGTGGCAGTAGAGATGGCTTTCAGAATGATATATTTCATCAAAAATGTGACCATAAAGGTGCAACATTAATAGTGGCAAAGATTCAAAATTCAAACCGACTTGTTGGTGGTTACACTCCAGTTGATTGGGATACAAGCAACAGAAATAAGAATTCATCTGATAGTTATATCTTTTCATTAAGTGATCCCACTAATTTATCAAATGCTAGATTAGGACGCGTTTCATCCACTTCTTACGCGATGTATTGTCATAGTAGTCATGGACCAAATTTTGGTAGTGGAGATTTACATCTTAATGGAAGTTCTGTATATGCTAACGGTAATGGATATTATCCCAATATTGGCACTCCAAATGGTTCGCAAATTGAGGATTATGAAGTGTTTCAAGTAATTAAGAAGTAGGTCACGTTTTCTGCACTAGTTTCAAAGTAAGTAATTTCCAGCACTATATATTTAGTAGACTTTCCGGCTTAATAAATTTTTAATACTATGTTCAATTATTTAGTAGTTTTTTTTTTTTCTTTTTATCTATTTATTATTATCATTTTTTTTTTATAAATATGGAGTAATAAACATTATCTTTGAACGAAAAACATTAAGAAAATTCTTGTACTATACGATACAATTAAGTTGTGTTCATTTCAATTATAAACTGCCAATAGCTAGAATCAACGAACTACTGTGTTAAATAAATTAAATCATGCATCATAATTATTGTTGTACTTACATCCATAAAAATTTGGGCTTTTAATTAGGTAACCATTTTAGTCTCCGAAAATTACCGAGTCTGAAATAGACATCCTGTCAAATATTAGGAGGGCCTTTCGTATATCATTTATACATATAAAACAGCTGCAAGATTTTATTGCGCTGAAACAAGAAAAGAGCGGTAATTTACTGCTATTGAAATGGTTGAATAGTGTCATGTACAGTAGTATAGATTATACATTTCACATATCATGGTGAGCGCGAGTTCTTTCGAGCCATGTGATAAGAATTCATTTTAGGTTATATACTAGATTTCATTAAAACTTTCTTAAATCGAATAGTTCACCTCGCGTGAGATATGATGCATCTCGCACAAGTCGCGCGAAATCGCGGGCGTGATAGTTTTGTGCGAGGTACATTTCTACTTATGTAAGACAAAACCTTTATGTGTCAGAACTATATATCTCTTTTCATATGATGTTTTTGTTACATTTATAGTCACATGTGTGAACAAACTTTGATATTTTAAGCTTAATGACAAAACCGTAGAACATAAAATTTGACTTTGGTCACTTCGCTTAACTATAAACTGTCCTTCACTACACACATCTTTTTTTATAATTACTTGTTATCAAAGTATATACAATGAACACAAAATTTCTTGTTGGCATAGCTGAAGATTATAAACAACTTTATGAAACTAGGGAAGATTATGATGTGATTATTTATGTTGGCGAAGAGCCCAATTCTAAAGAAATCCATGCACATTCTTTGGTTCTTCGTACTAGATCCGCTTATTTTCGTGGAGCTCTTGCTTCTGGTTGGGCAGAGAAAGATAAAGATAGTGGTTGCTTTATCTTTAAGAAGCCTAATATCTCTTCATCAATTTTTGAACTTATCCTTAAGTAAGTAGCAAAATAATTTATTATTTATATTAATGTCCAATTTTAACATAATTTATATCATAAATAGATTTTTATATTGCGGAGAAGTAGATATTCAAAATTTAGAAGGAGAAACTATTTTAGAGCTTTTTGTTGCCTCTGATGAACTTGGTCTTACATCACTTATTGACCATGTCTTACAATATTTTATTGAGAATCAGAAAAGCTTTTTAGAACAAAATCCTGTAGGCATGCTTCACATGGCTGCTCATCATGAAGCTTTTAATGAGATTGGAAAGTTTGCTTTAGAGACTATTTGTGCAAGCCCTGATATTCTATTTGATTCAAATAATAAGTACTTTTCATTAGATGAAGATGTGTTAATACTAATTCTTAAGCATGATGGACTTGAAATGGAAGAAAGTGAAATTTGGGAACGATTAATTAAATGGGGAATTGCTCAGAATACTGAACTTAAGGATAATGTGACTGAATTCAATCAGGATGATTTTAAATTATTGGAGAAAACATTACAAAGATGTATTCAATATATTAGGTTTCACGAAATTAGCATGCCAGATTTTTATCATAAAGTATTCCCATATATGTCTATACTTTCACATCACCTATTTGATGATATTTTACGTTGCTATATGGTCCCAAACGCAGTACCTCTTTATAATGTATTTCCTCCTAGAAATATAATTGATTCAATTTTGATTAATACATCCCACACACTATTATTTTCAAGCTGGATTGATAAACAAAATAACGGATATTATAAAGATAAGTCTCCTTACAAATTTGCTCTTTTATTCCGTGGCAGTAGAGATGGTCTTCAAAATAATATATTTCATGAAAAATGTGACCAAAAAGGTGCAACAATTTTCGTGACAAAGTTTCAAAATTCAAACCAACTTATTGGTGGTTACACTCCAGTTGATTGGGATATAAGCGGCAACAATAAGTATTCAACTGATAGCTTTATCTTTTCATTAAGTGATCCCACTAATTTAACAAATGCCAAATTAGGACGTATTTCATCCTCTTATTATTCTTATGCAACATGCTGTAGCAATAGTTATGGACCGAATTTTGGCGTAAATTGTTTATATCTTAGTGGAAATTGTGTATATATTAGTAATAATGGTTATTATTCCAGTGTCGGCGGTTCAAATAGTATAATTGAGGATTATGAAGTGTTTCAAGTAATTAAAAAGTAGATCTCGTTATTTCATTTAGCAGGTTTAGGCTTAATAAATTTTAATGCTATATTCAATTGGTTATTATTAGTGCTCCGAAAGGGGTCAAAAAACCCGGGTACTCGACTCCAGAGCATAAAACCCGAAAATTCATCACACGACCCG